AAAATTAAAAAAAAAAAAAAAGAAACAAACAAGAGACTAAAAATAGAACTACCGGATGCCCCACTCCTTTGTATGTACCTGAAGGAATTTTCTTTGGAGACAGGGTCTATGTAGCCCACTTGCAGCACTCCTGCTTCAGCCTCCTGAGTGTTGGCATTATCAGTGTGTGGCACGGCACCCAGCACCCTTGAAGAGTTAAAGGTGATGTGTGGATGCCTCTAGATACTAGAGGGGTTGCATGTGTGCCCGTGTTTCCTGCAAGACAATTCACAGCAGCCAAGATAGAGAACCAGCCTAGGTGTGGATCCTAGGCTGGATGAGTGGATAAACAAAACTGGTCTACGCTGCAGTATTGTTCAATGATGAACAGTGAAGGGATTTTTGTTGCTGCTGTTTTGAGACAGGGTTTCACTATGTAGTTGGAGCTGGCCTTGTGCTCACTTTTGTAGCCCCAGGCTGATCTCAAACTCCTAGTGCTCCTCCTGTCTCAACCTCCCTGGTGCTGGTATGACAGGCCTGCACAACCACACCTGGGCCTCAGGGGCTGGCACAGGATTTAGGGTCGGGATCGAACTCTGGACCTTATGCTTGCCAGGTAGTTGCTTATGCCTCTGCCCAGCCCCAAAAGTGAAGGTTTATTATTATTATTACTATTTTGTATTTAGTACAGGGTCCACAGGGTCTCACTACATAGATTGAACTCATAGTGATTGTCCTGTTTTCAGCCTCCCAAGCGCTGGGATTACAGGCGTGCACCACCACACCTAGTCTCCATGGCTGGCTCAGCCCGCCCCAGGGGCAGGGCCGGCATGGCTGTGCGGGATCGAACTCCGGCCGCTGCGCATGTGCTTCAGTCCGCTGAGCTAGCTGACCGGCCCCAAGAGTGAGGTTTTGTCATTTTGGCAAAAATGGATAGAACTGGAGACCATTATGTTAAGAAAATTAAGCCAGATGTAGAAAAGATAAGTCACATGTTTTCTCTAATATGTGGAATATAATAAAGGTGACAGGATATTTTGTCAGATAAACTCAGGGAAAAACGGGGAACTTGGAGTGGGTATAAGAGGGTAATGGGGTATAGTGAGTTACACATATGAAAATACCTCACTGAAACCCAAGGTTTTATAAAATTAAAGGGCACTAGTAAGTCTGAAATACACAGGGAGAACTTATCTTTTTTTTTGGTGGAACCAGGGATTGAACTCAGTCCCTGGCACTTGTTAGGCAAGCGCTTATTCTACTGAGCCATCTCCCCGGCCCCAGGAGACCGTCTTAAAAAACAAACAAACAAACAAACAAACAAATAAAAAAAACCTAATAAAAATATACTTTAAGGGCTGGTGAGATGGCTCAGTGGTCTAACGCACCTACTTAGAACAAGATTAGCTAAAGCACAGGGACCACAGTTCGGTCCCCCAGCACCACATGCCAGCCAGCCCGCCCCCTGGTGGGCTGAGCTGGCCACA